TACCTTGGTGTTGTGATAGATGTTCTAAACGATTTAAAATAAAACAATGTTTTATTTTAAATCTCAGTGAATGAACTTGTAAGGAAACTAAACTTGCAAACTTTTTGATAATTCATTATTTATTTATAATTTATTACACAACACACACACAATAACATAGAAAAAAAAATATCTTTAAACTATGGAGTGTATCGCGCTTAAGAAAAAAATGTGAAACAAATGAAATTAGGGAATGTGCAGGAGGTGCGACACTTAAAATATAAATAATTTTACGTATTACTTATTATTTATAAACGTTACGTTTGAAAGTTGGAATATATTTTAGATAGATGTTAATGTCCAGATGCAAGATGAATAGTCACAAGAAATAAGTAAAGAAAAGAGGATTTCTCGTATATGATCTACTTGTATTATGAATTTTTATCTATTTTTTTAAATTATTATAGGATAAAAAGATATAGCATATACTAAACGCCAAATGAAAAATACTTAAGATATGAAACAGCAAATCTTTTAGTAAGTACCCCGTAAAAACAATTTCCCAAAACCATTTCCCCTAAGACTGTACATGAAACTGAAAGGAATAAGTGAAGCCTTCTTCAGGGATTACGAGGGAGCAGCATGCTCCGGAAAATAATATTTTTATTTAATAGCTTCTGAGATATTAGCCGTCGCGAGTAATTGTTCTTGTTGATGTCCGACTTGAAAGAAATGTTTATTATACATTCCTTTGGCTCGCTCTGAAGCTCTAATTGAAAAAGTAAACTAACTCGTTCCACGTAAGTACGATCAAAAACTTAAAAAATGTTTGCTGTATATATCGCCGTTAAATTGATATTATATACGTACTATGTAATAAGTCAACTGCGATTTTGAATAACAAGATAATTAAGACAGGGATCAAATAAGGCGAACAAATGTAGTAAAACGAGCACTTATAAAAATACCATTAAACTACCTAATTTTGAATCGCTTATATCTCTTTTTGCAGTTAAAATGGCTGCAGCTACTAAGAAGTATGGCAATGTTTTTTAAACTACTTTAAGTTTAAGATTTGTTTGGTAATCACTGGGTTAACACAAAGCTACGCGATACACATAACTATTAATTTTAAGGCTGCTTCATACAATACTCCGATACGTATATTTATGTCTCATCAGCCACTAGGACAGATCTCAATAATGAAGTTTGCACAAGTTCTAGCACAAACAGCAGATATTTGTCATCGTTTCCAAACTAATGTATCGGAGTTTCCAATTAGCGTATATTGTTCGATAATCCGAACGCTTGTTTAGATGTGTATCGCTGTGTACCGGTTTGTACAAGAGACATGATTGTAGAGTGATAATTTAATTCTGTTTTCACATTCTGAAATTACTTGTTATTAGATTCTTGTATGATTATGACGATGTTACACGGAAGACACATACAATGACATGTGTATAACGTAGGAAAGGAAATGAATGAAAGATTATGAACTAATGAAAACATTTAGTCCAACAACTATCAATATCTAACCAGATAAAAACCTCTAATGTAGTCGATAGATTACTTAATATTGACATTATTTAAATAATGTTTGAAGCACCATACCATTTTTTTTTGTATCATCGAAGAGTATGTAGCGCAATAAAAACATGTACGTAAGACGCGTCATAGACCTTGTTTGAGGATTTCACATTCAGAAATGTAAACAAAATTTCCATGTTTCTACCACTCTCAAAATTTTATGTCCAGATTCTCCTGAAGTCTTTTCATAGTCTAATATATTGGACTTATAATATATTATATCGAGATTTAATCCGTTGAAGTGTTTTATTAAAATGTGTACTACTCGCGTAAACTATAGACAGTCTTTATATTGGACTTGGTCTGGAAGTTTCGATTTTAGGTGGGTGGTAGAAATATCGCAATTATATCTGGGTCCATTCACCAGATGCCAAAACCATCAATTAATGAATTAATTGATGGTTTTGGCATCACGTGAACGTTTTGGTTTCAGTCTGTAGATTTCCGAAAACCATAGCCAATAAAAGTCGACAACGCATCTTGTTAAGCTGTTACATGGCTGAGGTATTTCACGTTTCACCAAGGGAGCCCCATGCTTATCTGTTCTTCTCTATTATTAAAACTAAGTAAAAGAACCGCTTGAGTACGATACCCACTTCGATACATATTTATGAATTCGGTGAGGGGTCATCATAACACGATAATCCAAACATTAATTCCGAAGCCACAACCAAACAAACATGTCCGATTCGTATCGTAACATCATTAGAAAAACATTGTGTACGACAATGTCTTACTTGTCAACTTCCACATGTGTATTGTGGACACTGGATAGTGTGAGGGTCTTGAAAAATGATAAACTAACAGATAATGTTTGTCACACAGTTGCTTTGACAACGCCCGAAATATTAAATGCTTCTCGTCTTCGTAAAACGTCAAACTGCTGTTGTTATAGTCGTGTTATTATAAGAAGATTTTTTATCGTCACGTTATAGCAATATATAATAATGAGGTAGTGGATTCGGTTCCTTTGTTACTAAATCTTTGGGTGGGGCAGTTTACGGCATTAGATTTCAAAGTCGATAGCGCATCTTACATTAAAGTTATATGTGTTGGATAACCTTTCAGCATGTAGTAAAAAAATAGCTAATATATATTATATAAAAAGCAACATAGGTAAGGTTAAAATAAATTTGTTAACTATACATTTACATCTACAGCAATTTAACCTCTCAAACGGCGAAAATTTTGATTTAGGAAAATATCTCAGAGGCATAATCGTATTATCTGACTACGAAACTTCGCATATTTAATAAATAATATTCCCTCCTTGTAAAAATCTCGAAGCTCCATTACCTTCACTTAATTCCCTTTAGGGATAAGCTCACAAAGTTTTTAAGGTCAACACGAGTTGGTCCTTTTATGCTAAATTTTATTATAAAAATTTGGAATCCATTTAGTCTTGCAAAAAGGTAGCTGAAATATTATAATTAATGATTTTATTACGTGTGAACATTTAATATATATTGTTGTTAAATTCGATGTTAAAAACTGATAAACAATGTTCCGAAATGGGGTTTAAAATTTTTAAAGATAAAAATAATCAATCCATTAGAAATTCGAAATGACCAACAGAACAATGGAATAACCTTAAATCGAACAAGTGGAATTAGGCTCATAATATTAAATTAATAAAGTTTACGCCGTAACTTTGGAAATTCGAAACAAATTATTGGGTTTTGTTCCGAAGTAAAACCGATCATAAATTAGGAATCTACGTTCAATCGTGGGTAAAGATTTAAGACGGCATAGAATTACTTCAAGTTCACTCTTATCATAAAACCACAATTGTACATGTATAGGTAGTCACATCTGTTCCATAGTTGAAAATTTACAACTATAATTTCAACCTTGTTCATACAATTTTTATTTTCGTATGTAAAAACTACTATTTTATAACATTTTCACACAATACAACGAAGAACAAAAGCGGTGTTCGGTTTTGTCTACCTTATTACAGGTGGCATAACTAGAGTAGGTAGATAAAATAAATTAGACACCGGCGAATCGTGTAAGTTTGTCTATCAAAGCCTAACAAAAAATGAAGTAAAACCTCCCAAGTAAATGGACCGTGGAAGGGATTCTTTCCAACTTCGACAACTCCTGGTTAGGGTATGATAAAACTTTTTATGTTGTTCTCACGGCTGACCCTTCAGTTTTCTATATATACAGAACATTATCCTAGTGTACATTGCAATATGGTTTTTAAAAATAAGCATGGCATATAAAAAATGTTTTTGTTGAGAGAAAATAGAAATATTTTAAGATCTTTCACATTCATATTTTTAAATATTTTACATTATTTTCTATGTAAGCATATTTGTGGTAGACACACTTCTTTGTCTGCTTTACTGATCAGTTTTATTTCCAGGAATTTTTCTTAATCTTTTAGAATATTGAGTATAATCTGTATTTTCCACGAGTAGTTCACATTTAAATAAAACACTTTTAATGAATTGAATTACACGAAATAATAATCATATTTTAATAATGTTATTTACGGCCGTAAGTTTTTATGGTTATCACTTTGCAAGAACAGAAAAAAACAGTTCTTAAATTATAATAAAACTTAAACAAAGAAAAAAGATTTTCATTCGTTGTTCAGCAATGGTGTAACGATTATTCGATATATTAAAGATATATATAGTTAATTAATCTTGATTTAATAATGATGCCTCCCTTAGCTGTATAAATCTTTTGTAGAAAATGCAAATTAAATTAATACATGAACTTAATTTGATTACTTTCCTACGTTTATTGGACCATTGCTCCGTCATTAAATTTAAAGTTACGACGCAAGATGTCAAGACGTACTCTTGTACATTGTTCTTAATTATTTTACGAAACGAAATAAGGGAGCAGCGATGTGATGTTTTCAAAGAAAAGAGTTCATTAAAGTCTCACAAACATGCTACAAAAGTAAAATAAAAGACGTCATTAGTAAAATAAAATATTTATTGTAATTGTTTTATAAAACAATAAAACATAACCATTATCACTGAGCAAGTAGGGGACTACTTTAATGTTTTATACAAATAAAAGTTTATCTGTAGCTTATTTTGTAAAAAAACAACTATTAAGAAGTTGAGGAATCTCAAATAATTTTATACGTTACTAGAATTTTATATTACGAAAGGATCAACTGAAGTTTATTATCGAAAATTAACAATAACTTCTAAACAACTTTCTTCACATTTCAACTGTCGGTATAAACATAAAATCCACGTTTCTCTGCAAACAGAAAAGGTAGAAAAGAAATAAAAAGTACACGAAAACAAAACTATAACAAAAACTTTGCCAAACGTAAACAAACTCTACTTACAATAATCGGCGGCGGGTATTCAACGTTCGCCGAACGAAATATATCGACAAGATGAACCATATGGACAGATAATTTCGTATCAATTCAAGAGAAACCAATATACGCGGCGATGGAACAATCGCGTGAGTACGTAATTCAATACGGAGCGACTCGATGCTCACACGGCGACGGTTGGACGTTGACTGAACGGCGCGCGAAGGAATACGCACGCGGGGAGGGGGTACGCACTCACGCAACGGAGGCAGCCAATCGGCTGCGTGGGTCGCGCGCACCCCCGCTCCTCAATTCCGCCCCGCGGTCTCCGTCACCTCAGAATCGATGCCCTATATTGCATTAATTATTTAGGAAACACGCAATAAGATAACGCAAGGTAACAGATAAGAGTCCGGGGTTCGAGCTCTAAATCATTCGCTCACGGTTTCAGGTGATAGCGGCGGTGCGTTGGCGTGTTTGTAAATAGCAGCTGTTTATTTCGTAGTTTTTCGAGACGATCACAAACGAATTAGCGCCACTTGGCAGTTTTGGCACGTCACAGTTAGCAGAATGGGAAATGCTTAATGACGTATTTTTGCTATTATCATTCTCTTTGAGTTTGTAATATCTAAGTTATAATATATATTTTACGAGTCTAGTTTCGGCGTTTTCTTGTAATTTTAACATATATTTTTACGTGTTACGGTTTTAATTACTGAAATTATAATGTATAAATAAATAAAACCAATAACTCAACTAATTTATTCTAACTATGGCCTGACATTTCGGATGCTTCGCAACAGCCGTGGTCACGTGCGTACCGTGACCATTGCTGAACATCGCAACATGAAACGCAACACCGTTTTAAACCGTTACAAGTGTTTCATTTAATGTATTTGTTTAAACTACAGACATTATCACATTTATCACAAAATCGGAACATCGTGATTCTCATTTAACCGTCAAAAATGGTTTTTATTGAAATGACAGATACAGACATGTTCTAGATTAAAATGCATATCTTAATGCCTTGAATCAAGATTCTCACAGCACGTCCAACGTCACCTGCGACCATCTGCTGTACCTGACCTGAATATCAAGCAGAACACCCAATATGGGTGCTTGTCATAGACTCTGTATTATCATAGATTAGATTAATAACCATTTCGACGGGACCGTTGGACCAAGAGTGTCAACGCCAACAGTGGACTCAATATCTTTATCAAAACAATTTATGAGTTTCCTAAAATGTATTTGTAAGAAAAATTTGGATTTTCCGGGTCAAAAACCAACATCAACAGAACAAAAATGGTGACATTATATGTGCTTCGGTTGAGTCTGTGGATTTCTGAATATGCAAAGACAAAATAGAACAGATAAGTATGTTTTCTAGATACGTGCTACGTGACGAGTGCGTGATGTGGATGTGGGTGGGACACTTTTCTGAGGCGGTTTTAAAACTTAAACTTCAGAAATACCTCATCAGCTTATTAAAAGACTACATAATTAGGAATCGTTCGTAGCTTACGCGAGTATTACACATTTAAATAAAACACTTGCAACGGTTGAAAACGCGAAATATATAGTACAAATGTATTTCAACTGCGGCCCACTGTTTTTTTAATTTCCTTTTTTAAACACGTTTAGTTTATTCACTCCTCTTAACTAACTTACAATTCCTTACTAACAATATATTTCAACTACGGCCCGACGTTTGGGATGCTTAGAAGCGATATCACTGATTTATTTCGCGTTTTGAACAGTTAAATATGTTTTATTACAACCACCGAATAATATTTGTCCAGGTTACGAACCGTTACGTTACATTTATCGCTAAAGTTGTTCACCATTCGAATTGGCTTTGGATAGCCAAAATAGGCCGACAGCACATCTTGTCTAAATGTTATCTGGATCGGGTATTTCACCTCCAATTAAGTGTATTGGTTATGCCCTCCTCTATCATAAATAATAAGACGCTACATTCATCACTAAAGTTGTTACCAAGAACGTAGTCAGAAAATACACGGTGATACGTAGAAATTCTTTCGTGAAATATTTATAAATTATTATTTAATTACGGCCGAGTGGCGTGGGCGGGAGTTGGATGCATTCCAAAGGGGTCGAGCTTCGAGTAGGCAGGTGAACGGGGGATGTTTAAATACACTCTGGTGGTACATGCGCGTTAAATAACTAAAGTTGGGAATTAACTCTCCTTTCATATCCCTACAGCAAGTAAATACTCTACGGAAAGTGTTACAGTAATTAACCTAGTAGTACACGTATAAATAAAACACTGTAACCGTGGTCCAACAGCCGTAGTAGAGTCCCGTGGCTCCTCGTGACCACGGCTGCTGCAAAGCATCCCAAACGTCGGGGCTGAGTTAAAATAATTTCCAAATAAGCTTAATATATATCGCGTTAAAGTGTTTTATTTAAACCTTTCGGCAGTTGAAAGAATGGTAAAAGTGTGAAATCCAGTTTCCAATCGTGGGGTATGGGGCTAACTCATCTGTGTTCACTGATCGGTTATCAGGCTCTTTAGGCTGTAATAACACAGGTTATTTACAGGTAGTTGATCAACTTCTGTGCCCTGCCCGACCAAAAATATTTTGTTTTTTGGGATTCGCGCGCTTAACGCATTCTTAGGCAACACTTTTAACCATTTAGCTACAGAGGCAGTTGAAAAAGAATGGTACTGGGTGTATATACAAAATTATTAAAATTAAATATATTAATTTACAGATGATTTGAACTTTGAGTTGCACGCATATTGTCGTTTGTTTTTTTTTATTATTTAAATTAAATATATTAAACACGAAATATAATATTTAAATAATTTACAATTTATTTTCCGGTTTGAATTGTTTACGTGTTTACACGTGTACTACTCAAACTACAGACAATATTTAATTTTTTATCATTTACGGGTAAATTAAACCTGGTGGGGATCAAACCCAGGACTCGTTATTAGCCATAGAATACTACCATTGGGCAAAAGAGCTCGTCAAAACCTAGATATCTTGGCACATCTACCTGAGATTTTTTGTATTACTCTACGCTAGGTTCAAGATCTTACGTCACAGCGTCGTGACCGCCCCGGGCACTACACACGAGTGGTTTTGATCACGTAATGAATAAAATATCAACCTGCTGGACATCGTGTTTCCATTCGTCTCACTGACTTTGAAAATTAACTGCCTTATAGTTCTTGATACTTCTCTACCAGTTTAAAAGAGTAGTTTTTCACTGGGCTTTTTTACCGCCAATTTCTACTGACAACTAGCTGAGCCACCAAAGGTATTGTGTCCAGTCCAGTCTGTTTTTCAATGTTTATATAATTTAAGAGTTAAACAAGAAAGGAAGAAGATTAAAGAAGAAGGACAATGGATATTTTTTTAGGTAAATTATAGATGAGGGAGGATTTTTAAAAATTGTAATTAATGTAAAAACTATATATATATAGATAAGTTGTTTTATATTTATAAGTTGATTTCATTTAAATAAAACACTTTAACGGTCTAATCTAATTAGTACTCAACAACATTAATGATATATTATGACGAAATTAACTTAAATACTGTCTATAGTTTACACGAGTAAAATTTGAATAAAACACTTTAACGGTTTGAACTGCGATATATTTTAGTTAAACTACGTGGTCACCGGGAGACTCCGGCGACCGCGGCTGCTGCAAAGCGTTCGAAGCATCGGACTGTAGTTAAAAATAATTTAAAAACTAGTTTAACTAAAATATATCGCATTTTAAACCGTTAAAGTGTTCATTCAAATGTGTACTACTCGCGTAAACTACGGACAGTATTTAAGTTGATTTCGATATAAATATATCATTAACGTTGTTTAGTACTAATTAGATTAGACTATTAAACATGTGAAAATAAAGCTGAGTAATCATCAATAGTATTGTACTATGTAGTTGAAAATATTGTACTGTAATTGTATGTATTATTGAAAAATAGACTAAGGGTACAAACTTAACAAATAAAGGTTTCACGTGAAAAAATTCGTAAGGCTGGGAAGGGATTAGAAAAACACAGAGCCCGACTAAATGAATTCGGAACTTAGCTAGTTTGTAAAAACATTTCCCCAATGAAAAAAACATGGTGCGGTCGGCAAAAAATTACCATTCTTAGTATTAGTCGGGTGGCTCGTGGAGTTCTATGCTCCACTTATATTTTCAAGAGAGGGAAAAGAGAAAATAAATTGATCACTGAAATTAAAACACTTTTAACAGTTTAAAACGAGTTTTATCTTAACTACGACCCGACGCTTAGGATACTTTTAATTATCTATAGCTATTTTATGGAATATCCAATTGATAGAAAATATCCATTGATATTTTTTCATGATAGAGAAGCAAGCAAGCATGGCGTTCAATTAATAGTAGGGAAATTTTCACAGCCATGTCATCGCAAAAAGATCTGCTATCGACCTATTTTAGCTTTGGATAATGGGAAATGCACAGTCTGAAACCGAAACGCGGTTAAACTAGATGGCCTTTTCATCTGTGAACGGTGGTTCGCAACTAGGACGAAATTTAGATAGTACTGCCACCCATAAGATTTCTAGGCACAAACATAAATTAATAAAAAATCGGGTAATGGGTTTGATCCCCACCGGTTCCAACAGACCCGGTGGGGAGCAAACCCATTAGCCGTTGATTATTAGCCATACATTGTTAACATTTGACCAATGAACCCGTCAAATTTGCATATCGCTCTACACTGTGTAACTATGTATGGACATGTTTATGACTCACGTGTAAGTTTAATTTATATTCTCAGTTTAATTACAGCACACAAAAATATGCTCACTTTATGACCGAGAAAAAGGTCGAGTACAGACGTTTTACAGGCTTCTAAGGTGGCGGGGTTTTTATAGCCTACGAAGAAGGGAAAATTTCGGCGTCAATTCAATGCGGGTACGAAATGGTTTCGAGTGCTTCAGGTGAAAGTGAAAAGATTTTTATTTCGCGTTTCTTTTAGGTGTGCTTATGGCACTGAAAATTTAATGACTGCGTTTATCACCTTCCGTGCTCTGAAATTATTGGGCTATTCCGAGGATATTAGGTAATTAGTAGACAAGGTTTTACTTTTAATGATAAAGGACAGACACGGCATGGTTCACTTGATAGTAGGCCTATCTTGGCCGACCTAGGCCGACCTATCTTGGCTAAGGACAATCGGAAATCCGCAGACTGAAACCGTAACGCGATTAAGCTTCACGGCTTTTTTCATCTGCGGACAGTGGCTCGTGAGCCGGGCGGAATTTCCATATTTCTACCACCCATTTAATATCCAGATTTCCAGACGAAGTCCAGCATGTTGGGAATAATTACAAATTGAT